CTTTGTGCGATGGTTTTGTTTGGTGTTCGGTTGATTCTTTATAAAATGATTTGCGTTTTTTGGTATTTACAGATTGGTTTTATGGTTATGAATGTGTGTATACTTGCATGGTTTGCATGTTCAGTGTTGATGCGGTACTCTAAAATTCTATAGTGTTGTATTGCAGTGGAATGTTTGCAAAAATAAAATAACGCCGAGAGGGCAGTCGGTCATGGAAAGAGAATGATCAAGAACAAGTATGGCTGCTTAAAGCCGAGAAAAGATGGTGAATAAAACGGAGGATAAGGCATAGATGGAAGTAGGCTAGGTGAGGTGAGTGTGTAAGATTGAGTGCATGAAGTTGGTTATTCGATTCGGCAGATAAAAAGTGAATTAGTTGAGAAAAAAGAGGATAATTTAAAGTAGAAGGGGGGAGAGGTGGTGGATTGAAATTGAAACAAAACAAAATACAAACCCAAGCCGGGAGGGATGGAACGAGAACATTCGGATCGGATCGGAACAATTCAAAGAATGAGATGTGGAAAGGTATCTGAGAGTTGGAGTGTCTTGTAATTCATAGGTGACAGTGCAACATTTCAACTACTACACTTAATGAATGCTTGCAAGATGATCGCTACAGTTGTGCATGCTATCTTTGATTGCTTAGTGGATGTTGCGATGGAAGAAAGGAAGGATGGCAATGAGGTTGAACGGGAGCCGAGCAGCAGTCATGCAAAAGAATGAGACAGCAGTTAGGTGCTAGATATGGAAATGGATACAGAATTATAACTGAACAGATTTTAATAGATGTAGTAGATAGCATCATGAGCTGTATCTGTGAGCAGGTATGACATTTTGAGTGGATGCATGGCAAGTGGAAAAGCTCAGTGTGATTCAAGTGGAATGATTGACGATTTGATCCCGCTCGGATTCGAAGTGAACTGGAGTTGGACACGGAATACTAGATGCTTCGAAATGCAACGGACAAGACGAATACGAATGAAGGAATTAAGCATGCAAACGTTTGTGTGAACAAGTAGTGATGAGGAGTAGAAGGTGAACGAGAAAATGCAAACGAAGTCTTTCGAAAAGGTTATGAACAAACCAATAAAATGATGATTGCACAGTCGCAGAACGTTATTTTCCTTAATAATTATTATTGCATGCATAATTGCTCCAATTCCTGCCACCATTTCGATAGTTCAGTGTTATGCTTCATTTTGTGGTCACCTGGGGGTATGCCTCCTCTTTGATGCTAATGCTTTGAGACGCATGTGCATGCCTGCCTCATGCGTTTCTTGAGATAATGTGTTTGCCTCATGCCTGGTCCGTCCCTTAACCCTTACCATACATCCATCTCTCTATCTGTATATATATGTGTGTGTGTGTGTTCATTATCATTAGATGATTTGTTAAGCTTACTGCTAAATTCAGTACCTCTTCCATTTATCCTCGTTGTTTTCCTTTATATGTTTCAAGGAACATGCGCAACCGATAAGAAGACAACGCACAAATGCAATAGATAGATGGGGCAGTCGCAGGCAGGCAGCAGCGTGTAACTGCAAGTTGGCATTGAATGAGCATGAGTGGATGGATGGATGGATGAATGGAAGAAAGAATGAAGGAGAATGTGAGTAAGGAATTGAAGATGAATTCGGTTGGTTGCATTTAACGTAGTTCACTCAGTCATCCGTTCGTTCGTCAGTCTGTCGATTGATTATTCATCGTTTGGTTTTTTTTTCTTTTTTAACATTTCGGCTAGTTATGGCGTTTTCATGTTTCTTTCTGGTTTTATGCTTCGCGCTTTATGGAAACACTATGAACAGCGAGCGGTATGACATTGTGTGCCAGTTTGTGAACTGTTTTCATGTTCACTGCTTCTGGTTGTTTCTGATTCTGATTCGAATGGCCATTCTCGATCGGATGGGTGGGATTTTTGCCTTGATATTGTAGTGGTATATTATAGCATGTCTGTCTGGTGCTATTGGATACGTGCATGACATCTCAACTAGACGACAAGACAACAAGTGGATACTGCGATGCATACATGGATGAATGGCTAATGGCTGATAATAATGACTCCTCCATGCATTGCTGCTCATGAAGGCATCCCTCTGCTACAGCAATTCACGAACGACAGTAAGCATCAGGCACATTTAATAAATGTTCCAGGAAAACGCTTAAATGA